ATAGGTAACTAGGTGTATCCTTGAGACGGGAACCTTTAGTGTCATGCATACGGTAAAATGGTGTATTCGATTAGCCGTACCCTCCCCCCCCCCCCCCCACACACACACACATCGGTTTGATGGTACGGAACTGTAATGTATTGATTAATTTCAGTGTTGAGGTACGGATACCAAATTAACAGCCAGTTAATTGTATCGATCAAAGGGTACGGCTAACCTTACAGTACTAGGTCAATGTTTCGTGATGAGTTATTCTAAAAAATGAGTTATCTCCCATGATATCTCGTCTAGCCTATTACACTTCCTCTCTATGTGGACGTTTTAAGTGCACATTTTAAAATGGTTACAGTAGTTCTTTTAATAATTTTTTTAAATTAAATAATTTATCTTGATAATATAAAAATATAACACCCTTGTATTGATTCAAATCAGACCCTTAAGGCACGACACCATGCATATTATCCGTTAATCCGCACTTGATCCAGAACAAAATTCAACTGAATAATCGAGATTATGGAAGTATCAAACTTCGCGACCTCGATGGATTCGAACCCACGTCTTTAAGTTTACTTATTTAGAGCTATTCTGCTCTACATATATGAAGTGTTGCTTCATTGATGTGTGTTTGTAAGTGGATTGTATTGTTATCCGATATATTTTATCACATATACGTTCCCATATATATTTTACCATATATATTTGTAACCAGATATATGGTCACTTACGTTAAACAATCCACGAGCCGAATCAGCTATTTTCGGTACCTGATCTCTGTTATTGAAAAATCATTAGTAAACTGTGTAGTGTGGTCAGTGATACTGTGGTCAGTGATACTGTGGTCAGTGAAACAGTGGTCAGTGATACTGTGGTCAGTGAAACTGTGGTCAGTGAAAGAGTGGTCAGTGATACTGTGGTCAGTGAAACAGTGGTCAGTGATACTGTGGTCAGTGATAATATGGTCAATGATACTGTGGTCAGTGATACTATAGTCAGTGATAATAATATGGTCAGTGATAATATGGTCAGTGATACTGTGGTCAGTGATACTGTGGTCAGTGATACTGTGGTCAATGATACTGTGGTCAGTGATACAATGATCAGACTTCTTGCTCTTCTATACAATTTAATATCACTCGTACAACTGTTAAAAAAAAACAGTTGACGTATTTGGAACGATGTGGTCGGCTGGTAGAGTTTAATAATATTCACCTGAAAGTCACGAGTTCGGATCTCGGGCTCGTTTGTAAGACGTTCCTGACTCCACCTAACTCTTATGGATACCTGACTCGCGTTAGGGGAAAGTGCTAACAACACTATTCCCCCAATACCAAGGTCAATAAAACATTAACTCTTCTTCATCTGCCCAATTTGTCTTGTTTTACCTTATATGTGTTCCCTCATACACATGTATCCTTTCACCTTTATTGACACCCGACACCCCTTTGTATGTGGTAACACCTTTTGTATGTCTTCCATCGCTATTCTATTGACACAAAAAGCACAGCCCATATCAGTGTGTGTTTAAAGAAATGTTACAGCCTTTGTAGAACTGTCAACCCTGTGGAATTTTAAAGCATGAACTATGACCCCGAATACGTCTCGATTCTGAAGTTGTGATTATGTTTTTTTGTCGGTTAGACACGTATTTCAAGTGTTTGTTCGTGTATGGTGGTCGGGAATGTCAACGATTGACGGCGGGGGGATATTCTGAATCGTGTTGTAGTATAGAAATTTAGTTGTTTTTTTTTTGTTTACCGCTACTCCTGTGGTGTTTAAGTTCTTTAACTACCGTCGTCAACCCCCTCTTAATTTAGTCAGCCCCACCCGTCTCGAAAAATCAAGTTTCCACCCCTTCTTCCCACCTCCCCACATCCGGAAAAAAGTCTGAAAGAAACACTACACGTGAAGTACCTTACATATCGAGTTGTTCCGAATGAATTCGATTTGACCTGCTTTGGTTTCTAGTGCTGATCGCCCCGACCACGTATACACAAATACCATATACCTCGGTATATATATAAAGTATGAGGGTGGTGCAAATCAAAAGTCTGAGGGGGGGTGCAAATCGAAAGCTTGTCCCCGGGGTAAAAATTGGACCCCCCCCCCCCCTAGAGACGATCCTGGCTACATTCTTACACACACCTGGATATAATACAATAACGACTTTAAGCACGATTTAGTCTAAACACATGTCTTAACTCAACCAAGCATAAACACAAACATGCAGACACACTATCTCTCTCGCAACACACCACACATACAACCGCATAAACGTGGGCTACACCAAAACAACCACAGACACGCACCCGCAAAAGTACACAAACACACACGCACATACATGAGCACTCAGAAAAACACGCACGCAAACGCATACACACAGGCACACACACACTCACACACATACACACACACACATACACACACATACACATACACACACACACACACACGGCGTTCTAAGAAAGCCCAAGTTCGCGGGCACGGAGTCAAACGAGGTCACCAGGGGCGACAATCGGTCGACGTCACAGCAAGAGCTAACAAAGCCCTGTCTGTTGTAGGGCAGTAGCGTCTGCTGCTGTTTTTTGTGGATCATCGTCTGCTAGACGGCTTGTTCCAGTTTTGTTAAGTCAACTTGCGTTTTGTTTTCATGAAGTCAACACGTATTTTATTTTTATTAAGTCAATATGTATTTTATTTTTTATTAATTCAACGTGTATATTGTTTTCATTTAGTCAACAGTCAACGCGTATTTTATTTTTATTAAGTCAACACGAATTTTATTTTTATTAAGTAAACACGATTTTTTTTACGTCAATATGTATTTTATTTTTACTAATTCAACGTGTATTTTGTTCTCATTACGTTAACAGTCAACGTGTATTTTGTTTTCCATTTAGTCAACAGTCAACATGTATTTTATTTAGTCAACAAGTGTTTTTTGTTTTCATTAAGTCAAAATGCATTTTGTTTTCAATACAACGATTATTTAAATCGTTCCTCTTAAACCTGTAGGCCTACCTTTTTATTGAATTTGATTATATCTGAAATGTAGTCGATTTTTCATTGCCTTAGGGGTACGCAATGAAATACAATATATTAAAAGTTTTCAATGAAAAAATCAGTATTTTCTTATTACACCAACATTAGGGTATTGACATTAGGTGTCATGTTTCCAGGTCATAAGGGGCGTAAATAATGCTGCTGTAAATTATAGTTACGCTTGCTTTCACAAATCTTCTGCTATGTTGAACAGTTGCATGAATGAGTACATTAATTTTGGATTACATGATGTTTGTATTTTAATCAAATGTCAATCTCTGCTATCAATTATTAAGAAAACGTTTTATAAAAATATTTCTATAAAATAATGTAATTCCCGTACTGTGATTATAGCACGAACAAATAATTTGTCTTACCAATATGCATCGTAGTGCTAGAAATATTACATAACACTTGGGTGTGATGAGCTATGGACATTTTGTATGGGATAGGGGATATGACTAAAATATCATGTATATGTGTACGATGGGATAGGAGATGAAACTAAATATATCATGTAAGCTATATGTGTACTATCTCTATTCGACTAAACGCACCATGTAATTATTAGATAAGTGTGACGAATCCTATCTTCGTCGTTCTTACTTAACTCTTCCCATGGGATGTCCACACTAAAGATCGAAAAATCACGTGACTGTCCATGTATACCACTCACGCCAAAACCCAACGACGCCGTGATATTTCCATTACATCATCACGGCCATTCAGAAAAATTTCCCTGGTCTGAAATTCCAGTTCGGGCGGGAAAAAAATCGACCCCAGAAAAAAAATCGAACTTTGTTTTAAAGGGGAAAAAAAACCACTCCCAACTATGCGACTGACAAATGCGATGACGTAATAATTTCTGCTTCCGTTCTTAACCCGCCGCCATTGATGTGCGGGGCGGGTGAGTCTACGCTCGCGTGCGTTGTGGGATGGCGCGAAAATCGATTTGCAGACGAGGACGACTCGCGGGTGTAATGATGACAACAGACGACAAGCAGACGACGACTTAGAACACTTTATGAGGAATATGAAGACGTTTTTTTCTTTCTTGAGATGTTATCATTTTCTATCAGGACTTTTTGAAGTTGTGCTGGCGTTCGATAAATGTGCACGATGACGTCATTAGTTCTTGTATAGAATTATGGGACCATTCATTGTTTTGATGAGGAGTGTCGTGCTGATTGGTTTTTATTTTTATATACGCACGAACTCATTGGCCGTACCACGATGAAAGGTAGCCTACGTTTGTTTGGTTTTTGTAGGGTAAGGCAGTAGGCATAGTGTGGATAGTAGTGTACAGCTCTGCTCACTGTTTTTGTTGTCTTAGTATAAGGCTGCAATGACAGCCACGGTGTTGTAAAGCATGACGGGTCTTCGTTGTTTGGGTTTATAGGTTTTGTGTGTGTACTAATATTGTAGCTATGCGTTAAATGCAGCGAAATCGTATCGCCAAAAAACTGGATGTTTTTTCCTTCTAATATAATGAGCACTATTAATGTTTATATAAACATATATATGAGCCTATATTATTGTATATTATTATAATATTTATATATATTATAGGTATATAATGTATATATATATATATATATATATATATATATATATATATATATATATATATATATATATATATAAATATAGGTATATATATGTATGTATAAATAGGTATATATTTATATGTATAAATAGGTATATATTTATATGTATATATCGGTATCGGTATATTGATGTATAAATAGGTTCATATATATAGGTATATATATGTATATATATATATATATATATATATATATATATATATATATATATATATATATATATATATACATATAAATGTGTATCAAACTGTGTTCATATTAACATATTTATATTATTCATATTAACATATTCCTATTATGTTTTGCTACGTGGTGCTTATTAAAGTTTAATTTGTTTCGTCTTTCCTCCCACAGAGCTGGAGCCCGGCTCAGAATATGCCAAGATGATCTCAGAGGCGGACAAGAGCAGGTCATCCTACGGCTCCAATGACGGCTCTGTTACCTCCACCGGTTCCGGCCAAGCCCGGCCCCCGGTCTCGCCCGCCTCGCCCTCGTCACCCTCCTCGGTGCCTGGCGCAGACAGCGACGATTTCGTCAACAAGGTGTGCAGGTTTGAGATGATATCCCGGACCAAGACGCCGTCGACCTCCTCCTCTAAAGGAGGGAATCCTAAATCTCCAACAGTGAAAACCCCGACTTTGAAATCGCCGCCGTCGGATGGGAAGAAGTCCAGCCCGACCTCTCCGTACGGGGTCAGCGCCCAGGCGTTTGTGGGCGAGAAGGTGTTCACCCGCGACACGGCTACCACTCGCGTGTCCGCGAGCCTTCTCCAGAACCTCAGCAGCGAGCGGGTACTCAGCACGTGCAGTACCCTCAGCTCAAACTCCTTGACCAGCGTGAGCACTCTCAGCTGGAACTCCGACGCGTCCGATACCTCAGCGGGAAGTTCAAAAGGTCAAAGCACCGCCGGGTCGTCGTCTGGTAAAGGTCACGACCTGATGACCAGTTCGGACCCGGGCGTGTCTCACGTCAGCCACACCCAAGACACGAGCCCTATGTCCAGCTCGTCCACCAAAGAAACGTTCATGTACCCTGGAACGGTCAGCAATGGCACCAAACGCGGCGGCATCATCGACCTGTCTACATCAACAGCGCCGACTTTCCCGCAGACGCCGCGAACTGTATCGGGAATCACGAAAAAATTCGTCACGCTCTCCGCGACTGAAAAAGACTTTCCTCAAGTCCCTGTGGTCAAGCCGTTGACCACCCCATCTTCAACCTTCCCATACATCACCCCCGTCTCCACCCCTGAAGGTAAAACCCTCAATGAAAGTCCTTCAATGTCTAACGGTAGCCCTGGCGTTATTTCCCGATCCCACTACAACCGAGACAGCGCGGGGAAAGGGATAAAACAGAGAAACACGTTCGAAGGCATGGACTTCGATTTCAGCGATCTAACCCAGCAGCAACAAGCCCTGGCGCTGAAACACCGCGAGGTTGTTGCCGAGAGGAAGATGGAGCAGGAGAGGGAGAAGAAAGACAGGCAGAGGCTGGACGAGATTCTCAAAATGTGCGAGGAGTACCAGAACGAGATCAACAGCGAGATCTCCACCCCGACCCCTCACTCCCACACCACCGCGCAGTTCGGGTTCGTCAACCTCCAGCCTAAAACCCAGCCTCATCTTTTCACCCCCAAGAAAATTCAACCCCCGGGCGCTCTTGAGCTTCACTGCGAATCTCCTGCGTCCCCGACCGGGTCTATAGATAGGCGGGAACGAACCGGGAACATGACGAAGATTAAAACCAACGGTTCCTTAATGTTGAGTTCTCCCAGCAACCCGCATAAGGAATTTGGGCCAGCGGGGTTGAAAAAAGTCGAATCTAATGTTTCAGCGTATTCGTCAAACTCTGAAGACGAAACTGTGGGGTCCAGCGAAGATACAGGCACTATAAAGAAAAGGCCGCACAATGTTAGTGGATACCCGGGCCCGCCTCCTCGCCAAGACCAACCTCAACCCAACGTACCCGCACAGTTTAAAGACAAAACGGGCACCCCGCAGAACCCGCTCACCATCGCCCAAAACAACATCAACATGACGGCTCACGTCACGCCCGACGATATTCTCACCACCACGCATAACTACTCTGAGCACGTGACTCTATCAATACAAACACAACACGCCGCCGACCCGGGATCAAATCCAGCCTCGACTCCTCAACCATCGCCTCAAAAACCGGACTCGCATAATTCCCCGAAACAAAACGCGGATTTACCCAGAGACCAAAAAGACTCGAAGCTCGAAAATGGATATTACCCAGATCCACAACATCATACCTCGTCGGATACATCAATCGACAATGTTTACACTGGTCATTCAAACTTACGTCAAACATCCAACATCCAAGTCCACGACACCATTTCCAAAAACGCCGAACCCGCCCAGTCGACAAACCCACCCTCGGGTCTAACCTCAGAGTGGTTCTCAAACGACACGCTGACCAGGGAGTCTCACTCCTCCACCTCCTCCAGCCAGACCCTGCGAGACGCCTCCAGCCATTCCTCACGGACCTCCTCTTTCTCGTCCACGGTGGTGGACGCCAAAGAGGACACGCCCACCCCGGTCAACAGCGACTCGGAGCAAGGGGAAGTAACTGCCACGCCCTCGGACCGGTTATCGCCTCTTATTTCGACCACCGTTGGACTGGACATGTCTCCAGGATGGACCACGGGCAGTCTGAGCCCGAAAGAGGTAGGTCATTTGCTGTCACAAGTTGTTTCCCCACAAAAGAGATTCTTAACTTAAAAGTTTATACTTTTGCACAAAAAAAAGTAGATCTTTTCTCCTAATAGAGAATGGTCCTTTCACCTAAAGGAAGGTTTAATCAGTATATATTAGTATCAAGCTAATGAATTTGGGATACACTACTATAGGGCTGGTGAGTAGATCACCAACCAGTTTTACGGCTCAATAAAACCTGCATGAGACATAGAGCTGGTTGGTGACCTACTTACTAGCCCTATTGTGCGGTTTGTTATGGCCAAGGCACTCTTGCGGCACGCCTTAATGATAATGTCACATTCGTAATGCTAGTCAAAGTACTTTTTGGGGTTTAACGGCTAACATGGCAACGATAAACAAGTAGGAAAGGTAGTGTTGTGGAGGGGGGCGGGGGTAATGTCCCAGACCCATAGTGGAACAGCACTCTGAACAGATGCATGTTGCAAAAGTTAAGTCTAGAAACTATGGGATGTTTAGTTACTAGAACTGAAAACTTCAAGCTCCCATTATTTAAAATCTGGGGGGAAAGTAAAGGCGGATAGGCTTAGTGTTAACGGCAATTATCAATTATTTAAAAAAAAAACGGGGTCAGGGAAAACAGATGAACTCTACTTCATCTATCCTATGAACGGTCTGGTCTTAATGGGTTCTTCTTAACAATATGTCATCCGCCCCTTCCCCGGAGTTTATAGCCGTCAGCAAAATATATTGGTCAGATGTGCTAGTCAGTTTAAGATGGGGTTAATTTGCAGTAATTCGTTATAAAGAGTATCATTTAGCCAGTAATAGTCTAATCATCAAATGCGACCATGGTCAAAGTCTTTCTTTTTTAAGTTCAGTCGACCTTCCATAGTATACAGCTGTAGTAGTTTTAAAAAAAATGTAAGTAGTCACATTCTATTTAAGAGCCGGCACTTGAACACAATTCGTGGGCAGATGTTTGTTGAGTTGTGGAAAAATTTGAGTACTGGTGTTTTCTGCATGCTCTTAGCTACATCAGTGAGAGATGTAGCCGTGGTCAATCTGTTTAGAACACAATGACAAGGTGTTTGAATACCCGGATATCGCCATGTACCTTCTTTCCCAGGAGTGTCAGTTCAGAGGTCAGCTAGAAGGGCTTAAGCTGACCAAGACGCAGCTACTGGTCAAGATAGCCGAGATGAAGAGACAAATCGCGGAGATTGAGCTGCAGGAAGGGGAGGCTGTTCGGGAGGTGGGTTGTTTGTTATACTGGTCATTTCCTGTGGTCATTTCGTGTGGTTTTATCATGCCGTCATGTAGTGTGGTTATTTATTTTGGTTTTTATACTGGTAATTTCATGTGGTCATTTCGTGTGATTTTGTCATGTCTCATTTAGTGTGGTTATTTATTTTGGTTTTTATACTGGTCATTTCATGTGGTCATTTCGTGTAGTTTTGTCATGTCTCATTTAGTGTGGTTATTTATTTTGGTCTTTTCGTATGGTTATATCATGTGGTCATTTTGTGTGGTTATTTAGTTTGGTCATTTTGTGTGGTTATTTAGTTTGGTCATTTTGTGTGGTTATTTAGTTTGGTCATTTTTGTGTGATTATTTAGTTTGGTCATTTTGTGTGGTTATTTAGTTTGGTCATTTTGTGTGGTTATTTAGTTTGGTCATTTTGTGTGGTTATTTAGTTTGGTCATTTCGCTATGTCTTGTGGTCATCTAGTTTGGTCATTTCGTGTGGATGTGCCCCGTGGCCATCTAGTGTGGTTATTTGATGTGGTTATATTGTTTGTTCACTAATGTTAGATGTGATTGTTTCGTGTGGTACATGCGTGGTCAATTTTGTGTGCCGTATTTTGTTGTATATGAAATACGAGTGTTACTTTGGGTGTATGTACGTACGTCCTTGAGCTCGCTCACTTGTGTCTGTGTTACTGTGTTACTGTATGTTTATGCTACTGTGCTCACTGCATCAAGTTCAAGGGTCAAGGGCTTCTGTTTTAAGAAAGATGTAACTATATGCTCGTTATACAATATGTTCTTCTTGTTAACTTGTTTTACATGTATCTATTAGTTAAGCGTTATGTTGTTATATTAGTGCTTATCGTGTATGTCACCAACGTTTAGATGCTAATGTGTGTGCTGGTCATGTAATGTGCTGTATGTACATTCTAATAACCAGACTATAACTGCACTTAGTGTATAATTAGATTTATAATAACCCACCGCACCTATTTAACTTATTGTAAGGCTTGACACGAAGACAATTTTCTAACCGCATTTTTACTTAAGTGAAATAGTCTCACTGCCACTATCGGCAAATTATAAACATATAACACACGCAATCCACACATCCATATGACCTATAAACATATCTATATGTCCTATAAACATATCTATATTACCTATAAACATATCCATATGACTTATAAACATAGTCATATGACATATCTATAAATCCGGATGACCTATCTGTAAATACGCATATGACCTAACTATGTAATCCGGATGACCTATCCACACATGACCTATTCCCACGTTACCTATCCAGACACTGACACAACATATCCACGTATCTATCCCTTGGCGTGATTTATCTACGCATAAATCTGACTTAAACATCCATGTTTTTGCGGCATCCACAAATCTTTTCATCCAATTTTTATAACGTCTGTAACCTCGTTTAAAAAACAGCAAAGCATATGTGTGCTTTACAATCAGGGTACGAGGTACAGCACAGTGGTACGTCTAATCTTCTACTTAAACAGACAGGCAAGGTCGTTAAAACAAATTACCAGACGTATTTAGTCTGCAAGAGCCTTAATCCCCTCTCCTAGCGAGATTGAAATTGAAAAAAAAAAACAATTGTTCGGAGTTTCCCGATCTAAAACCGGTATTTCACGACGAAAAATGAAATAGAATGAAAAAGTTACATTCGTATGCGCCTAAACTCCATGGGGCAGTATGGGGTAGCAAGTAGAACGTTGCACGTCTGGAGAGGGGGGGGGGGGGGATGAGAAAAAGGGGGAGGGGGTCGGACTTATATGACGTTGAGGTGTATTGCCGGGGTTTACAAAGTGTAACGTCTAAATTTTAAAAAAAGTAATTTTTGAAACTGAAATTTATCTTTTTTTTTTCAATATTTTATTTTTGTAACTAGAAGCTTGCATAACTCAGTACATCTAAGGTAGACTCAGCTTAATTTTTTTATTTTAGAAAAAAAAACTTGTTTCGTGATTTTTTGTTTTTTAAATTATTTTGGGGGGGGGGGGGGTGGCGGGGAGCACAAGTGTGACGTCATTCTATGTGGTTGGGGTGGTGTCAGTGGCGTAGCGATGGGGAGGGGGGGCGGACCGCACCGGGTGACACCCGACCTCGCTACGCCACTGGGTGGTGTTTGACTGCTTTTTGACGAAGTCTGATGATGGTAGGTGAGGATGTGGCAAACATCCAAAAAAATGTGACTTCATTTACGAGTAACGTCATGTACATGAGGGCTATACTGCTGCACGAGCCTTAAACTTAAACTCGTTTTATTTCGAGGTTTAAACTTTGACCCCGTGCTCACCATATAAACCCTGTTTCTTTTCTCGTGTCAGCTTGACCTTGAGACGAAGCTCCTGGAGGGTGAGCATCGCGACCAGATGGCCCAGCTGGAGGCCGAGCAGGACAAGCTGACCGAGATGAAGAGGCGGCACCAGGACACGCTGGAGTCGGCGCTCAGGGAGAGAGAAAAAGTAAGACTTGTCTCCCCTTTATTTAAGTTACCTCCCCTGATGGTGTTTTAAACTGTAACAGGTGCGGGACGATAATGTAAACAATATACGCCAAATGCACAGTTTCTTACAGGCTTTTCTTCAGTGCACCCCCCCCCCTCGAAGCTCGTCCACCCCCCCCCCCCCCCCCAACGAAATAGAATGTAATTAGAAAATGTATATTTATATCAGTAGTCCCGTTGTCCGACCTGAAATTTTTTGTCCAACCCCCACCCCCGTCCCCCATAAGTTTCACTGGCCTATCCCCCCCTCCCTTTTCCGGAGAAATATGTCTGAAAGAAATACTGCAAATACTGGTTTCAAAGTGATTTTTACTGGGTTCCCAATTTAGGAACGATGCATTTATGTTTTTAGATACTAAAGAAGTTGTGGATCTTTTGCTCCATCCTTTAGTTTTTTTTTAAAGTGTACCACAAAGGATTATATTTCATATTCAAATCTCAAAAGAAATCAACACCTCAACCTTTTACAAAAAAATTTTTACCACTCCTAAACAATAAATTAGAAAAATATTTCATGCTCCCATTCCATAAACTATGAAAATTGTTTGTTTTATTCATAAATCACAAAGGAAACATTTGCACTGCTCATAACAATGTCTGATTTCTTTGTTTACTTTAGGGAAGAGATATGGTAGGTTTTAAATATTGAGTTCGTTCCCTTTGTTTGGATGATTAACTCCCTTTGCACACATTTTATTTTGTTATTGTGGCTGTGTTTGCCTCTCTCTTACTCCTCCTTAGTCTATAAATAGAAACGATATTATAGGTAACAAATTAAAGTACTTTACCCACTTGAAAGCAAACAACTACTATTCTCCCTTAGTCATCATCTATTTAATTGTCCCCCTTTTTTTAATTGTATAAAGTCTATTCTGTTTGATCTCATAATGTTAAAGTTAATAATTAAAAAAAAATTATATTAACTTTTCAAGCTCATCTTTTTAATTAATTTTTATTTGAATTGTTTATTTTTTATTTTTTTATTTTTTTTTATTTTTTTTTTAAATTTTTTTTTTGTTTACTGTAATAACATCTCTTAAGCCCCATAAAAAAAAATGAATGTTGTATTTTTTTGACTGGGAGTTCCAAAAATGTAGTGCTAACAGTATGAGTACTAGTTATGATAACTTAATTATGTTGTTTTAATGTTGTATGGTGATAACTGCACACATTCCCCAATTGGTGTTGTTATCTTGAGGAGTAAACTTTGTTAAAAATTAACTTCAATTAATTAAATCAAATTAATTAAACACCAGGTCATTACACTGATAAGGATTACAATAAGGTAGCTGCTAATGTGTTGGGGTAAGATGTTATTTTTTTTTTTAAATTGGAGATAGTGTGGTCGGAGGATAGAGCTTACGGCCGCTAGCCCAAATGTCTTGAGTTTGAATCCCAGGGTCAAGTCTTTAGAAAGTCCCTGAGTCACCCTGCTCTGCTCGGCACCTGACTCACATTAGGGAATTTAAGATGGCTGGGCATAGTTCTAATCACAATAACCCCATGTATGCCTGGATCATTGAAACTCTACTTCATCTGTCCCATGTAACTTGGCCTCAAAGGGTAAAAGATAATGCTGAACACAAAGTTTTGGCCTGCACAAATATAATTTTTTGTTGTTTGTGCAAAGTTGATGTTAATAATAAAACATGTTTTGACATGAGATGGTTTGACGTATGTATGTATGTATATAGAAGTATGTATGACTGGATACTAATCAGCTGTGCCTGCAATGTTGTGCAGAGAACATAGTTTTGTTAACATTGTTAACCAAATGTTAACTTCCTCAGTGTGAGAGAAAAAAACAAAAAGCTTGATTCACATGACTAGATATTACAAAGTGCAGCTAGCTAATTAGCATGCCAAAGTTTTAATTAGCTGAGAAAATTAATGTAAGAACATTGTGGTCATTGTCATGCAAATTACTGACTGCATGTCTTATGTAGCTCTTTTTTTTTTTAAAGTTATGTTGTGAGAGATTTAAAATAAAGTAACCATTATTTTAGATTTAAATAGCTTACATTATATTTAAAAAACAATTAAGTTTCTATTGACCTGTTAATGTATTAAATTAAAGCAATTATTCATAAAATAATTTTCTGAGAGCTTTCTTTGCTTTAATCTCAAGCCAAAAAATCTTGAAGAAAGGACCTGTGTATTATTTTTGTTTTTTTTGTTGGTTTTTTTTTAGTAACTTTGTGATGATAGTAAAAAACTAAGATATAAATGTAATAAACATAGAAACATGGAAATATTGACCTAAACTGATTTGAATTAGTAAACATCGATCATCCCTTAAACAATTGCTCCCTTGGGTCCCCTCCCCACCTTATTTTTACCAAATGTCTGCCCTAGCACAGTCTGCTGCAAGTCTGCTCTTGTGTTGTCTGCTGTCTGTATAAACAAACCAAAAACCTGAATTGTTTTTGACAAGCTAATGAAAGCATAACATAACATGATGAACTTTGACCTTGTTTACTGTGGTCAGATGGTGAGGACTGTAAATATGCTAAAACTCTGGTCTTCAATTAAGGGGGTTTAATTTAATTTTTATAATTTTTTTCTTTGTTCTTGTTGTTTGTTTTTTTGTTATCATTCAATAAAACCTTTTTTTTTAAACTGAAAAAACTGTTTTAATAAAAAAATCGTATGTATATGGTGGTCAGTTCAGTCAAAATATTTACATTTCTAAATAACTAACTGACATTTAAAAACCATAACTTCATTGCTATTTGTCTCTAAATTCAAATCCAAAGAAATAACATTATAAACCTACAGTATTATTTATATGGCCTAACAGACAAAGTAGACCTATAAAGATGTTGCAAAGACATAATTTAGGTGAAGAGTATCCCAGCTAATAAGTCTGTTAAAAAATTTCATCAGTTTGATCAGTAGACTTCCCTAATGAGGTACAACCTGACTCCATGTCTTGAAAGAGCTCAAAGTATTTCTAAACCACTCTGCTTAGACCCAATAAACCATGACTATCTAAAACACAGTAAAGTCTTCATATTTTTTTAAAATCCCCTTAGTAACAGTAGGTCATTGAGCTTCTGCACCTTAAGCTTATTCTTTTTAGAAAGTCACATAATGAAAATCGTATCATTTAGGTGTATCACAAGATACTTATTGCCCTAATCCTAAAGAACTCTTAGTACTTTTTGTCAATAACTTAAAGCCTTAACCCTTAACCATTAGCCCTTAAGCTACCCTGAGTATTTTTGTAAACAAACAACTCAAGAACAAATTTTTAACCCTATTGCAAAGCTCTTTTTTATAAAATCACCTCAAGATCAAATAATAGCCTTAACCCTAATACTAATCATATAACTCTTTACAAACAACCACCCCAGGAACAACGGATCATTGAACTGGAGCGCCAGAAACTGATAGCCTTAGAGGAACAACAACACCAGCTCAACGGGCGCATGATGCGATCGTCCACCTCAAGCGATGGCAGCAATGGGGGGATGAGTTTCTCCGTGGACGAGGACAGCGCTGCGGTCAGGCAGAGGCTACAGCAGGAGCTGGAGAGGCAGCGCAGGATTTTTGATGACCTTGAGTTCCAGCAGTTGGAGGTGGGTCTGGGTCACAGGTGGGCAAGCTTTTGAGGCAGAAGAGACAAAAGTTATAATTTTGAAAATTTCCCAAATTTTAAAGAGCCACTAAAATTTGTATTTCAATATTATGGTATTTCTTTCAGTGGTTTAACTCATTTCTTAGTGTACCCCTTATCTTGTTTTCAACTATTTTCAAGGTGTTCCCTAAATCTGAGTCGTTATATAGGCTACTTTTCTTGGTTTGGGCTGATTTCAATAGATTTCAACACTTATCATGGTGTACCCTATTCTAAGAATTGTGTAAATGGATTATGCAATCAGTAAAACATGAGTTTTGAAAATAATTCATTTAATGAGAAATTGGTCTTAATGGCTACTAAAATGTTTTTGAGAAAATTTTTTAAAATATATTACAGCTAAACAAATTATTATAGCCTGTATCTTGTAAAAAATGTACCAATCCACATGTAGATTAAGTATATAAAAATGGAATCAGTTAAATTATGGCCGGATATATTAAAGCTGAAAAAATACTTGTAGGTTTCATCCAGTATTAGTCAAGGATTATCTATCAGCATTACTTAGCATTAATCCACATGTTTTTAATCCTGCAGGCTGAGGCCAGATTTGAGTCAGAAAAGGAACAGATTAATAGCAGACTTATGGCCCAGCAGGCAGAGCTACTGCAGAAGTACAAGGACAGGGAGGTAAGCTGGAGTTAAGTCCCCTTGTGGCTCAAAGGTCAAGTAGAAGTCCTCTATGTTTCTCTAATGTAATCCTATTTGTGTTAAAGGGAGATAAAGTCAACTTAAATCTCCTACCCTGCAGTGTGATCATGAAGAAATTAATTAACTTTGTTTTGTATCAATTATTTTAATTACAATCTTTTTTTAAAAAGTACTTGCTGTGTTATCATGACCTAGTCAGGATATCAAATTTAATTTAATTATTTTTTTTAATAAAACTATAGAAGTGCGAACAAGTCAATAAACTTTATTCTATATAAATATTTGCATTATAATTGTTCAGATCTATTACACTTTGATAGACATTATTTACTAAGACTTTTAATTATCAAAAAAAAAAGTCACAAAGACTTAAAAGGATAGAAAATTATACCATACTTATTTAAAGACTTATTCTGTTTACTGTTGAAGCTCAATAGGGAACTCTTCAGAAAAATCTTATCATAAAGATTAATTTAAAAAAAAAAATTTGAAGAATTTGGTGATTGTCCTTACTCTGCTTACTTAGATCTAAGCCAACAAAATGTAGCATTATGACAGCTAAATTCATTTTTTTTTAAACTTAAATTATTTTTTAAAAAGTAAGTCAAAATTCAGCTCCAACATTACAATGTAAATATGTATCCCAGGAGCGCCTCATGCAGATAGATGTTCAGCAGAAGAAGATGTTGGGCAGCGTCAAAGCCAGCCTGGAGTCTTTCAAACAGCAGCGCCAGCTTCTCACAGAGTCTTATAAAAAGGTGGGTGGGTCTCAGGTTTTAAACTGCTGGGTTTAGCATGGTTTACATACCTCTAAATATTGGCCTGTATCAACTTCTCACAGAGTCTTATAAAAAGGTGGGTGGGTCTCAGGTTTTAAACTGCTGGGTTTAGCATCTAAATATTGGCCATTAATACGTTCTCACAGAGTCTTATAAAAAGGTGGGTGGGTCTCAGATTTTAAACTGCTGGGTTTAGCATCTAAATATTGGCCATTAATACGTTCTCACAGAGTCTTATAAAAAGGTGGGTGGGTCTCAGGTTTTAAACTGCTGGGTTTAGCATCTAAATATTGGCCGGTAATAAGTTCTCACAGAGTCTTATAAAAAGGTGGGTGGGTCTCAGGTTTTAAACTGCTGGGTTTAGCATCTAAATATTGGCCTGTAACAACTTCTCACAGAGTCTTACAAAAAGGTGGATGGATCACAGGTTTTTAAACTGCTGGGCTTGGCATAGTATATATATCTAGATATTGGCCAGTAACAGCTTCTCACAGAGTCTTACATAAAGGTGGGTGGGGCTCAGGTTTTAAACTGCTGGGTTTAGCATCTAAATATTGGCCTGTAACAACTTCTCACAGAGTCTTATAAAAAGGTGGGTGGGTCTCAGGTTTTTAAACTGCTGGGTTTAGCATCTAAATATTGGCCAGTAACAGCTTCTCACATAGTCTTATAAAAAGGTGGGTGGGTCTCAGGTTTTTAAACTGCTGGGTTAAGCATTGTTTACGTACCTCTAAATATTGGCCAGTAACAACTTCTCAGATAGTCTTATAAAAAGGTGGGTGGGTCTCAGGTTTTAAACAGCTGGGTTTAGCATCTAAATATTGGCCAGTAAGAACTTCTCACAAAGTCTTATAAAAAGGGTGGTGGGTCTCAGGATTTTAACTGCTGGGTTTAGCATGGTATTCATCTAGATATTGGCCAGTGACAACTTCTCATGGAGACTTATAAAAAAGTGGGTGGGATTCAGTTTTTAATGTGATATACCTACACTAGTATATTATCATTGGGTTCAAGACTAGGATGTAGCTGAGTTCACCCAGGTCTAATGGGTTCTTGACTCAAGTTAAGGAATCTAAAGGCGGCTGGTTATAGTGCTAAATAATGATAAATATATTATAATGAGTCTTTCACAATAATTTAAATTTTAACAGCTAGGTTGTCATTATAAATGTGGTATTTTAATACTTAATACTAAAAACAAAAAAATCTATGAACTGATGAATTTCAACATTCAACTAAACTTAAACTATGTATGAAACTCTTCTCATATAATTAAGTTAACCCAGGGGGCGGGAGAGGGGGGGGGGGCATATGTCCACGGGCGCCGACCTTAGTGGGGTGCCAAAATTTGAAAAACAAATTGAAAGTTTGAGGGCGGGTGCAAAATGAAAGTTTGTCCCCGGTTGCCGGGAAGGGTCGCCTCTGAGTTAACCTGATGTTTATTCCATTTTCTATTTAAGTTGTGTGTTTAATTTTAGGAAAAGTCCAAAGTGGCACACTGTGATAAAAAGATAGCTGAAATATCCAAAGCATTGTCAGTTCCTATGGCAGAGGATAAAGCCAATTCGGATGAAGAAATTGAGGTAGATTTTTCATTTTAAAGATTTAATTTGTTGTCTGTTTTGTTTTTTAATGGAAAAATAATGCTATTTTGTGTTGGAATTTTAAAACTGTTAAACATGATTTTAATGTAAAAAATACTGAAGAAGATTTTTGAAATAAAATATTAAGAGTAACTGTTTAGCTTCTTTATCATAAATATAATGGAAAATGTATTACATTTTTTTAAAATTTTAAGCTATAACTTAAATATTTTAGGTCCAATAAATGTTTTATGGTCACGCAACAATAAATCAACATTTTTTTTAAAATAAACTTTTTTTCATAATTGTCTTATACATTGACAGCATAATCGTTTTAAATAAAATCACATTATTTATGTTATTACAATTATTTGTACTGAACTGTTTTATACATATTTTCTACATTTGCTGCATGATTTTAAATAAAATTATATTAATGTATGTGAAATGAACAGAACTATTTGTAAAAATGTAAGATCTATATATAGATGAGCATGGCAGCCCACACACCCAGTCCCCTGGGGACACAGAACCAGCATCACAGGTTCCTGGACAGCAGCGGTCACTCCGTGGAGCTGCGACGACCCCTTGATCTCTCCCTTGACAGTTCATCAGGGGGCAGCACTCTGGGACCTAACGGGGAGGTACTGAGGAAGAAGTCAGCCACCCTTCTGGAGATTGAGAGAAATCGGTCACTCTTCATTGAACAACAAGGTCAGGGTCAATGAATTTTTACATTTTTTAACCCATCATCTAGTGATCCTATTTTTTCTGTATAATGGATTAACATTTTGCTCCTTCAAGTTAATTATTATTGGTCATAATGTTACCAGTTGTGTCTTCTTTGAGGTAGTGTCCGGATGTTAAAATACTAAAAAGAAATCTTAATCAAATCATGAGGCTTTATGAGCGTAACAATTAAATTTAAGTGGCTTTAAATTAGACTGAAGGATTGGCTGTGGTGGCTTGCTTCCTTTTATATCCCACTTACCATTATAATATGTTTGGAATTTTCATATTTCTAATATAAAAATGGCTGTGAATTATTGTTTTGTGATTGCTTACTCCCCTTAATTCCTTGCAAATTACTGCTGACTGCTTTTTCCCTGCTGGTGAAGTTTTCTTTTAATTTTTACCTCTCCTAGCTCCTAGCTACATAAAATTTACTTTGCTGCCTGTTTCTTAAGTAAAAATGTTAGATTTCATTACTTTCTATAGTTCGTGTTATCTTTCTTCAGATCACATATAATATTAAATTTTATTTCTACATTAAAACAAGTGTTCTCATTACAAAAAAAAATTTTCAACTAAGATTTAAAATATAAATAAGCTAAGACTTTATAAATTGCGAATGTAAAATTAAAGGTCAGCAATAACTAGGTTTGTTTTGAATATTAAAAGGGAAATAATCTATTTTATTTATAGTTTAGAAGACAAGCATTATCTCCCTTGTGTATTTTTCCCTATTTAGCTGAAATGCACTTGAGACTTGGTATGTATAAATCATTAACGCTAGATTTTTTACACGACTTTAATATAAGAATGGGAATTTTCTCCTGCATATCAATCAATACAGTTGTACTTTTATATTTTTACATCAGATATAACTTTTACTGTTATTTAACTTTTTTTTAATTAACAGACACATTTTTTTGTGTGTGTATTTTTTATTGGGTTCAGTTATAAGCATCATTAGTTGAATTAGAAACAGCTTTATTATATCTATATTTCACTCTATACTATATTAGATCTACACACAGTGGCGTAGCTAGGATTTTTGGGCCCCTATGCGAAAAGTGTTAGTGCGCCCCTCAGAGGCGTAGCGACCCTTCCCGGGGACAAACTTTTGATTTGCACCCCCCCTTGCTTACGCTAGCTTTACGGTAGCTACGCCACTGTCTATACATGCTACCATCATCTTTGATATTTTAAGACTGCTTATGCACTTTATTTTCTCACATTTTGTTTGGCATGCTTTTGAAATATTTCATTTATTTGGCTAATTATAGATTTTGCTTTTATTAACTTAAGACTTAGAAATATAATTACAGCTATACTGAATTGGGATTAGTGTTTGTGTTTGACCTTCAATCTACCCATTGGTTGTGTAAGTGTAATATGTTACAAGTGTAATGTTACATTATTGACCGACATTCAAAGTTAGACAACTGCTGTTTTTGTTTTTTTTAAATTCTAGCAATCCCTTGGGCATATTCATTTTCTCTCCTCATGACAATGGAAATAAAATATTTTACTGACTTTCATATATTATGTTATTGATATAGGTACAGGTGAAATGTATCTTGTCTGTTTATATCTTTATTCAATATTTTCTATTAATGATAGTAAAATTTTTATTATGAATTTAAAATGTAAATAAATTAAGCTGAGGGTAATTTTTCTTCAATGCCATATGCTCTAATTAAAATCAGAACCTTCTGTAGTGTCCCCCTTCAACCAATCGGCTCTGTGTACTGCCTCACACAAAATAATAGGTTCAGTTTATAGTTTGCTTGTAAATTTACTGCCCTATTTAGCCAGTAACGAAAAGCCATCTTTATGCTTGAAAGGGCTATCTATTTTTGCATTAAGTAGCTGTCCTCTTTAACCCCATGATCAGCTGATTTGCTTTGCCTTTTGAATCAGCTGTCTTATTCCACCTAATGAATCAGCTGTCCTACTCCGCCTAATGAATCAGCAGTCCTATTTCTCCTAGTGAAGCAACTGCCCTATTCTGCCTAATGTATCAGCTGTCCTATTCCGCCTAATAAATCTGCTGTCCTATTTCGCCTAATGAAACAACTGCCCTATTTCGCCTTATGATTCAACTGTCCTATTCCGCCTAATAAATCAGCTGTCCTATTCCGCTTAATGAATCAGCTATCCTACTCTGCCTAATGAATCAGCTATCCTACTCTGCCTAATGAATCAGCTATCCTATTCCGCCTAACGAATCAGCAGTCCTATTTCTCCTAGTGAAGCAACTGCCCTATTCTGCCTAATGTATCAGCTGTCATATTCCGCCTAATAAATCAGCTGTCCTATTCCGCCTAATAAATCTACTGTCTTATTTCGCCTAAGGAAGCAACTGCCCTATTTCGCCTTAAGATTCAACTGTCCTATTCCGCCTACTAAATCAGCCCCCCTGATTTGCCCTACTGCCCCCATCAATACCACCCATGTCACAACGCTCTGCACCCACCTCTTTCAGTGTCAACTACATTGCAACATCCCTTAATTTAAAATTATTCCCCAATGACAGAAAACACTAAAAAAAAAAAAACTCATCACATCTGATATTAACAGTTTTCACACTATCCTCAATTATCATCCCGGATACATTTCGAATGTCTCAACAATACTCCTTCAGTCCCCTTTCCCTTAACACCATACGGAAACACAACCCTGTCATTGACTTTTTTCATAGTTATCTCCCTTTAAAAAAATAAAAAAAATAACCGAACAGAATTCCCGCATCAACTTTTGTATTAATGTTGTGAAAAGATGTTTCTTGCATCAATTTTTTAATCCGCCCTAACATTGAAAATGTCAAGTCAGTCTGGCTAATAGAGAAACCAAAAATAGAAACATCTGAATCTACCACTGCAAAGAAAAACAAGTTAATTTGTTGTTGTAATGTAAATTGATTTTTGTACTGCTATGTATGAAACTAGGCAGGCGGGAGCGTTAGTTTCCTGGGTATGACGGCACTAAATATATTTATATGACTACAAGTATTTGGTATGCGGTAATGGTATTTTTAGCGTTTGTCCTCAAATTACGGTATCAAGATATATTTTCTTAATTATTTTATCAGTGGTAATCATATAGGGCTTGTAAGTCACTTTGCTTCTCTTACTTAAAATTTGAAATCTCGTTAGCCAGGGTCAGGTGAATTCTCAAAGTATCATTATCAGGTTTTACGATTTTAAATAACTTAACAATAGCGTAACTTTTATTTATTTTTACCGATTTAATTAACATATTCATAATTGGTTTGAAAAATACTAGCTGGCTTGTATAAGAAGTTGGTGACCTACTTACAAGCCCTATTGTTAACATTTTAGTTAGCTTTTATCCACAAATATTATGGGTACCACCGTACAGAGGCGTAGCGATGGGGGGACAGGGGGGGACATATGTCCCCGGGCGCCGACCTTAGGGGGCGCCAAAATGGGTTGTAAAAACAAATTAAAATGTCATTTTAGCTGCATTTTTGCAGTTTGATGGGGGTGCAAATCAAAAGTTTGAGGGGGGTGCAAATCAAAAGTTTGAGAGGGGGGGGTGAAAATCGAAAGTTTGGGGGGGAAGGGGGGTGCAAATCGAAACGTTGAGGGGGGGGATGCAAATCGAAAATTCGAGGGGGGGGGGTGTGCAAATTGAAAATTTGCCTCAAAGGGGGGGGGGGGGCGCCAAATTGAAAGTTTGTCTCCGGGCGCCGGGAAGGGTCGCTACGCCTCTGCCACGGTACCAAGATATATTGTCATGACAATTATTTTTGTCAGTGGTAATCAAATTGTTAACATTTTGTTAGCCATTAATCATTAGCATACAAGTGAGGAGGTGTTTATAAATGACAACATACCCAGGGATGGGGGGAGATCAAACTTTTATGACGATGTGTGACAAGGTTAATGCGTGAGGTGAAAAAAAATGAAGGGGAGAATTTCTAACAGGGGAAATAACTCTATTAATAGTTCAGAAAGAAATGTTTAAAATAATTTATGCAAATTCTGGACAATAAAAGCACAATGTCTTTTATGGATAAACCTTAATATTTTAAATAGTGAAGTTGTTTTGACTTAAGTATTCATACTTGCTGTGCTTAATAATAAATGGCAGGGGCTTGTTCTAGCAGTTTATGTGGATCAAACATATTTCAGAAAAGTATCTCATAAATTATTTCACAATACAACCGAATTTCTGCAATCACTGTCTGCTACGTTCTAAGTGACAAAATATTTTTTTTAATATATTAAGCCAGGGGTCGGCAATCTGCGGCTCGCCGAGCAGCATGAGGCATTTTTGATGTCAACACGCGGCTCTCCAGTTCTATTATATTTATATTATTTTATTTTCAAAACTCCAAAAAAATTATACTGTCAAACAACAACAACTTTAATCAAAATAAAAAGCAATGAAAATAGGTGGAATAGAGCGTATATGGACAGATGACAGTCGCTGGCCTATATGCCTAGCCCCGACAACTGTGCTGTTGCCAACCCCGTGGTAATGGGGCTGGCCACTACCGAAATGCACATAAAAAAGTGTAACTTTGGGCTCTTCCGTCTCAAAAGGTTGCCGACCCCTGTATTAAGCGATATAATAGTAACATCCTTAAAAGTTATAGCCGTTTGGAAATCTTCGATTACACTCATTTTCATATTTTTTTGCATTGAATATAGGCCGCTGAAAAGCCGTTTAGAATTATTTTTACCAATTCAAATATTTAAAAAATCTGCCCTTAGCCTCTCCTTAAAGTCAACGGAATGGCCAGGGAGAGTAAAACAATGAAAGTCACAACAATGGCTTTCCATGATAAGATACACAATGTATAGCCTAGTATTGTATTTATATTAAATAATATAACATGTCCTATCACCACGACATCCTGACTCTACCAATCGAAATTTAAAATATAAGTATTTGCTAAATTACTTTCATATTACTATCATATGTACTAGTAATTATTTCTTTGACTATTTTTGGCTTTAATGAAACTGAAAGTCATTTTGTACTTATTACACAAATGTTATAAAATACTATATTTTGGTTGAAAAATGTGCTTCCTGGCAACAAAAATTTTGAACCATTTGGAATTAACTTTTCAAGTCTATTTTGCTCATAATTTTAAGGATTGAAAAATGCCTAAAATCGGGCCTCTGTAATTGCAATAGGTATACACAGTGGCGTAGCCAGGATCGTCTCGGGGGGGGGGTTCTAATTTTTACCCGGGGACAAACTTTCGATTTGCACCCCCCCCCCTCATACTTTATATATATATATATATATATATATATATATATATATATATATATACCGAGGGGTCTATGGGGGGGTATGACCCCTCTAACCCCCCCCCCCCCTCCTGCCTACGCCACTGGGTATACAGTACTATGCATGCGCAAAATGTTTCTCTCGTCCTAACCCCTTAACCCTTTCTTCAACCTTTATCTTTAACCCTAAACTGTACTGTAAACTTTAAAGATGAGCAGTGTTTCTTCCAGACTTTTTTCTCCGGGGGGCACTTGAAATTTTCGGGGGGGGGGGGGGGGGGGTAGACTTTCTTCGGGGGGCGGACACTGTTAAAAGTATATATTTTCTATATAAATTATATAAATTTCATTTCGTTCGGGGGGGGGGGGCGGTAAAAAATACTACTAGTACTTCATAACTTAATTTGCCTACTATATTCAATGTGTGATGCAATTACATGGTTGGATAATGCAATTTATTTATAGCTTTACTGGAACTTTGGATAAGCAAGTTATCCACTTACGTCCAACTAGGGCCAGCGATAATCCACTTTACTGGACTAGGGAGTGGGGGGGGGGGGGGAGTGGATCAGCACATCAGAAAAATTTGAACCCCTAACGTAACATTGTTTTACTATAATACATATTAACCAACTATATTCTTTATTGGGGGGGGGGGGGGGAATATTTCTAAAAGATATTATATATAGCATTGGAATGATGTAAACGAAACCATCGTATTTTTGAAGGTATCAATATTTTTTTTCAATTATAAAAAAGAAATGCAGTCTTCGCATAAATTTGATATATAGCTTTACAAAACATCTTGGCAATTAGAAAAGCTATATCCTTGTAAATTTTAAAAAAATATATATTTTTTTTTAAAGATATAACAAACATAAATTATTCTGATAATTTATAATATCACATGTTTCAGTTATATCTTTTTTCACAAAAAAAAAATTCTGTGTTTTAAATATATTTTTCGTTGTTGTATTAATTTGATTTAAAACCTTTTCATATTTCATGAAGCAAACTATTTTTATCACCTCCGTTATCAGTTTTTTCTGTGTCTGTTTTATGGAATTTCTATAAAGTTAAACGTCGGCCAGTTCTATATTTAGTTCATGCACATTGTTATTGCATGAAGCCAGTTCTATTGAACTTGCAGCATGTCTACGCTGTTTAGGAAAACACTGTCTAGATCTGCTTACACTACCAGAGGCGTAGCGAGGGGCGGGGGTACATATGTCCCCGGGCGACGACCTTGGGGGGGGGGGGGGCAAAATGGGTTGGAAAAAACAAATTAAAATCTCATTTTAGCTGCATTTTTGCATTATAAATATAAAAAATATATGGGGGGGGGGTGCAAATCGAAAATTGAAAGGTTGCTCTCGAGGGGGGCGACAAATTGAAAGTTTTCCCCGGGCGCCGGGAAGGGTCGCTACGCCTCTGTACACTACGCTGCACCCTTTTTATACGAGCATACGAATCCAACGTTTAAAAAACCAACAAAGATGAGTTGTTTTAATATCGAAGTAGAGCTAGGGTATGAAAGTAATTAAGGGTTTAGGCTATGGGCAGTGTAGTATCTTTCTTAATGATACTTTCCTTTTTACCAGTATAGGGCTTAGAAAATCTTTGAAATACTGCATTATCTTTCTTAATGGTATTTTTTTTACCAGTATAGGAGTTGGGGTTAAGGTTAGAAAATCTTTGAAATACTGCATTATCTTTCTTAACGATATTTACTTTTTACCAGTGTAGGGGTAAGGGTTAAGCTAAGAAAAATCTTTGAAATACTTCTCAAAGTGTTTTGTTTAAAGATGGCACTAAGTTTCATTAGCGTGGAGATCCGCACTGTGTTTTTAAGTTAATTAAATTTACATTGTATGTGGGTTGATCAGGGGTATGGGTGGGATACCCTGAGATATGTGCGGGGGGTGACATCAGGTTCTTTGTAGAGTGATCATTAATTAAATCATATTCGGTCGTTTTTTTTTCGTTTATTATTATTATTATTATTATTATTATTATTATTATTAATATTATTATTATTATTATTATTATTATTATTATTATTATTATTATTATTATTATTATTATTATTATTATTATTATTTGAATGTTTACTTTTTAAATTAAAGTTAGCTAATGTTAACAATACATGAGGTGCATTTCATTTTCATTTACTTTCATTAATACCTATCATATGTCATTGTATAAATCACTGACCAATATGTTAATGAGTGTAATCCTCTTCCCCCCCCCCCTCCCCTCCCCAGGGAGTATGATCATTGACCAAGAGAGGAAGAGGATAGAGGAACTGAGGCGCCGAGCGGCCGACGAGGGCCGGGCTCAATGGGAGGAAAGGAGGAGAGTGGCCGAGGAAACGAGTCGACTACAGGTGAGAAGTTGATTTCATCGTACACATTTGTTACACATTTCTTATTCGATATCAAATTTCTTGTCTGTTCTGTTAGACATTGTCCAAGTGTTTCGAATGGCTTATTACGTGTGTGTATTGGGAGGGGGGGGGGGGGTTAGTGGTTCACCTTGGTGAACATCTTTCACATTATGCGTGTCCCACACCTGCCTATCTGTAACACCCCACTGCCCCCTCCCCCATCCCCATCGTTTTGTCATACCTCTACTGCTCCCCTACTATACCCCTCCGTCCTCTCACCACTACCTCTCCGTCACTTCTTTCTGTACCACCTCTGACCCACCCCACTCTTTCGCACCCTACTTATCTTCCCCATCTATACCTACTCTCTCCGATACCCCCCATCATCCATCCCATCCTACCTTCCCATAACACCCCCACTATCCCCATCTCCCGCACCACCACTCTCCCCCCACCCCCCTTGTCCCCTCACCTAACCTGATCTTACCTCCACACCACTATCCCCATCTCTCCCCCACCCCACCCCGTGTCCCCTCACCTAACCTGATCTTACCCCCACACCACTATCCCCATCTCTCCCCTCCGCCCACCCCACCCCCTTGTCCCCTCACCTAACCTGATCTTACCCCCACACCACTATCCCCATCTCCCCCACCCCCATCCCATTGTCCCCTCACCTAACCTGATCTTACCCCCCACACCACTATCCCCCATCTCTCCCCTCCCCCCACCCCACCTCCTTGTCCCCTCACCTAACCTGATTTTTACCCCCACACCACTATCCCCATCTCTCCCCTCCCCCACCCCATCCCATTGTCCCCTCACCTAACCTGATCCAACATCCACCCCACTATCCCCACTCCCCCACCACCACTCTCTCCCCCACCCCAGTGTCCCCCTCGCCTAACCTGATCTTACCTCCACCCCACTATCCCCATCTCCCCCACTCAGTGTCCCCTCACCTAACCTGATCTTACCCTCACCCCACTATCCCCACCTCCCCCCACCCCCACCCCAGTGTCCCCCTCACCTAACCTGATCTTACCTCCTCCCAGCAGGAAGACAGGCGACTCCGTGACGCCAGCTGTAAAAGCTTCAACTCAGTGGAGTCAGAAGAGTCAAGCATCGCCAGCAGCTGTGAGACGCCCAGCGAGAAGGAGATGAGGTGAGTACCTTCTTTACACCGGTCTCCAGTAACTCTTCTTATAAAGTCCCTAGTAAACTCTCTTAAATGTCCACAGTTAACTCCCTTAGATCTTCACAGTTAACTCCCTTAGATCTATTACAGTTAACTCTCTTAGATCTATACAGTTACCCCCCCCCCCCCCCCCCTTAGAGTTAGCTCCTTTAGATCTATACAGTAAACTCCCTTAGGTCTTCACAGTTAACTCCCTTAGATCTATACAGTAAACTCCCTTAGGTCTTCACAGTTAACTCTCTTAGATCTATACAGTTAACCCCCCTTAGATCTATACAGTTACCCGCCGCCCCCCCCCCCCCCCCCTTAGAGTTAGCTCCCTTAGATCTATACAGTAAACTCCCTTAGGTCTTCACAGTTAACTCCCTTAGATCTATACAGTAAACTCCCTTAGGTCTTCACAGTTAACTCTCTTAGATCTATACAGTTACCCGCTCCCCCCCCCCCCCCCCCCTTAGAGTTAGCTCCCTTAGATCTATACAGTAAACCCCCTTAGATTTATACAGTTAACTCCCTTAGATCTATACAGTTAACTCCCCTACATTCCAAACCGACCCCTCTTTAACAACCACAGTTAACTGCCTCAAAACGTCCTGTTAACTCGCCAAAATACCCACTCCCCTAAAAATCCTACATTTAACTCCCACAGTTAATTACTCTTAAATCTCCCAGTTACTGTTAACTCCCCTTTAACTTCTACAGTTACACCCCCTTCATTAATAAGCAATGTTCTCTGTAACTGTATTCACAAGCACACTTGTACGCAATATATTTTTATATGTTCGCCCTACTACAAATTAGTAAAGTCTCACTTTTTTTAAAATAAATTTTTATCATACCTGCCCTCATAAAATCTTCCACTGTAAAGAGCCCAGAAATGTATTTATTGTTGGTTTTTTTCCCGCCTCAGACATGTAATTTACAGCGTCAGTTTGCCTTGCATGTTCGCTTTATTGTTATAGTTTTCATCATCGGCTTGTGAGGACTGATACAGATTTACAATAGTAATATTTCTTTCTTACTTGTAGCATACTTGCATTCATTTAAGATGGTTTACTTATACATAGATCTAATACAAATCGTCTAAATATAAAATAGAAGAAAAAAACACCAGAAGTTATAACATTATTTATCTAACTAACGTAATCATTTTGTACATACACGGTGTTGCTATTAAAAGCTTGCGTGCGTCACATGATAACCAATCAGCGTGCTTTGTGAAGATCACGTGACGTCAACACGTGCCGCTATTGATAGCAAATTTGCATACGGTGTGTGGTTGGTGGTCAAGGTTAGCCGTGAAGATGGACGGGTGTTGTGCGTGACGTGTCGCGGATCTGACCAAAAGTTGACCGATATATCACGTGGTTCCCTACCACTTCCCCCACCCACCCCCACCCCTTTTATGTTCCCTCATCGCGAAAACCTCTACTACTGATGTGAAATATAACGTTGTTCAATGACCATTTTTTTTAATTCCCTTATCTGCATTCAAATATAATAATTTCACTCAGCGTTTCTTTTAGACATCTCTTCATGGAAGGGGAGGGCATAGAAATTTTACATTATATAGAAAACATGCACTTTAACCTCACCTGCCCCAACCCCAAAGTGAGCAATGTCTTAAAGTAACACTGCTTTTTCCACACGCTCTCCTCTATCTTAGATGGTCCATATCCTTAAACACAGCACTGTTCCTCTACACACAACGCAAGTACCCTCACATACCCATACCTCACATACCAACACCTCACGTGCCCACACATCACAGACCCACACGCACCATCCCACACATTTACACTTAGTTAACCCTCCTACACAGATACACACACGTTTATCCACACCTCCTCTAACAGCACATCCACACTAATGTCTAATCTCAACCCACATCCCCCACACACCATATCCCCTCACATTCACACAAGAATTACTTAAACCAATTTTTAACCTTAGATACTTGTCGTTATATCCCTATTGTAGTTTTTAATACAAATCAATAGTATGGATCTCCGATGATGTTTAGCTATTAAAATCATCGAATTGAATTTGACGCTCGTTTAATCCAAACAAAAGAAAACGGATATTGCAAAAATTCACGAGTAAGCGAATTTAAACTTGCTGACGTTTAGTGAAATAAAAGTATGAAACACGGTTAATGCATTATTTGAGAAATCCGAGAATCTGAAATTTTTACTTCATTTTTTACTAAAGCAGGGTACAACGAAGTTGAATTGTTTCATAAATATGCGAATCATGAGTTTGTAGTTCTTTTTTAATTCTTTTTTTATCTAAAGTACGGAACACCGATACTGCATTATTTGAGAAATCAGCGTAATTGTGGTTGCCGACAATTTTATTCAAAGTATGGAACACTGATACCGCATGATTTCAGAAATCCGTGTAATTGTGGCTTTCTTTATATTGTTTAATGTATGGCACACCGATATCGCATTGTTTTACAAATCAGCGAATCTGGTCGTGCTGACATTTGCCATTTGTCAGCAGAGCATGCAGCAGACGAGGACATTATCTATCACAGCGGCCCTCGTTATTGGCTTGGCTGAGTGATGTATGGAGTAGCAGGATGGACATTTCGCTGTTTCCACTCGTGGTAGGGGATGGACATTTCCCGGTTCGTCCTCTGAAAGGATACCAGTTCGATGATTGTAAAATTAAAACCAACTAATGCTGAAGGATCGTTGTGGTTAAGGTCGAGCAGGGAGATGACTCTTTAATCTTTGTCGAAATACGAGTGGTGACTTTTGTTTAAGTTTTCAATACGAAGTTAGCTTTACTGCTATTATTTTTTGTCTAAACGGAAGCCTATATAACCTATAATGCTCTTAGTGCTGATTCAGCAAAAATTAAAGTGCTTATTTTGATTAATTTATCCTCTTCTAAGCCCAGCCCAACCCTCCCCCCTGTCATCATTGATATTCCTGTATTGACATCACCCACTTCATATTTATAGTGCGTCACCCCCCCCCCCCCCCCTCCCAGTGTGTCAACATCCCATCAACACAGTGAGTATATATCACCCCCCCCCCCACCATTTAAAAAATTAATAAATTCCATATCAACTAAATTTATCAATATCATTCCATCCCCCTTTTCCCCCCACAATCTACAATACGATCGCTCTACCTCCTCCTAACCCGCCCCCCCCCCACCCCCACCCCCATTAACATAGTGTGTTTACTACACCCCTGGGACGGAGAATGCCACGATTTGATCTAGTCCTGACCGATTCGGCTTTTCGGAAACGTTTTGTGTGTGATGGGAAGGGGCATCAATTATTAAACACTCAACACACAACAGCTTCAGCTGGGGAAGGGGGGGTGGGGGGGTGGGGTTCGCAGAGTTGGTGGGCTGCGCAGAGTTGGTGGGCTGAACTTGTTTTTTTTTACTGGTATTTACTGCTAATTCTTCCCACCTCCTTCACTACGGTACCAAAAAAAAATGATCTCATAAGACAAGACCAAAAAAAAAACATTTTTTTTAAACGTTTGACTGGCCATTTTTTTTTTCAAGGCCGAGAGAGTTAAGTGTAGAAAGGTTTCGGGTCTAGAACCGGAAGTACGGTGTGACATATGACGTGTTTGGGTACTTGCTAAACCCGTGGTGATAACCAGATGATTATCCCTATCTAGTGCAGTGCTATCGTATTATATAATATGGATTCAGGCCTATACTACCCATTTAACTTTCTTCTTCGCATACAATAAATGCTGATATATAAACGAAGTTGCTTAACTTACTTAGAAATGTTATACGTTCTTGTTTTAATAACGTGTGAATTTATTCTTTAGAAACATCAACATAAAACACGGTGTTTTACAGACATCATCTTCTTCTCCGATTTCAGCCTGCTTTTCTTTTTGGATTTGCTTCCATAGCCTTTGTCCAACCAAGAACAAACTACAAGGCAGCAGTTGTTTCATTTTGGAGTTGTCTCTCCTAGAAGAGTGGCTGCCCCAGCTAACGAGTCTCATCGAGTTCGTACTCGAGACTTTTCGGTTTGGCAACCATGAGCATTACCGACTCGACCACGCCAACCCCCTTTTACAGACTATTAGACAGACAAAATATCACAAAGACTAAACAGACACCTTGTCTGTTCGCTACGGGTCCATCTCCTCATATGTTAGCGGAGTCCGTTGACCCATTTGTGTCTAGCGGGTGTTGACACTGTCCTGGCCATTCATCAGTGTCCGAGTCGTGTTTAAACAGGAACTGACCAAACCCTGGACGGACTGGTAATGGGTGAGCAGAGATTTGTTGTAAGGTGGGACAAACTGTTTGAGTTTGAGATTATGTTCGGTCACCATTGAATGTGAGAGAGTTTTTACACAATTAGTTTGGACTCGAGATTGTGGATTTTTACTTTCTCGTGTATACGAAGTATAGAGAAAGTCTTGTAATCGTGCAAAAAAAAATTAGAGATTTTTGCAAATCTCGACGTTTTACACCTCACTGATACGGAAAAACATAATTTTGCAATCTTGTTCGTATGTCTGTGTGTGTGTGTGTGTGTGTGTGTCTGTCTGTCTGTGTGTAAACACGATAACTTGAGTACTGTTACAGCTAGGTTGATGAAATTTCATATATAAGTATTTTATCAAAATCGCAGATACGTATTAACTTTTGAGTGATTTCCGATAACCGGAAGTGATACTTTTTCTACTTTGAATTTTTCAAAAGCCTATAACTTGAGTACCATTTCAGATAGATAAATGAAATTTCACATGTAAATAAAAGATCTAATTCTCTACCTTCTGTCAAATTTTGAGTAATTACCGTTGATCGGAAGTAGTAATTTAAGCTATTTCCGATTTCTCAAAAAACGCATTTAAATTTATAAAGTACTAATAATATTGCGCACTATTATGAACATCTTTATTTGGCGTTCGCTTGGTGCGCAATTCTTTTTTCTATGAGATTCTATTCTATTTTAAAATGTTTAAGTA